GGGGGGAATGATACTTTTTCTTTACCCTGAAGATTTCACAGATACACCGACAAGAAAATATCACTAATTATATCAAGCCGTCACATATTTCAAGTAGTGTCTCCCCTTTTTTTATTTTTTTATTTTGCTACATTTTAATTGTGATCAGCCGTTCTTTAAGACTTGAAAAATAAAAACAAAAGTAATATAACAGGCATGCATCTGCGTGGTACGGGAAACTTTCTTTCAGTAAAATTAACATGGACCCAAGGTGATAACAATGTCATAGTGACTTACGAAAGATACATTTTGTTAAATAAGGTACTTGGTAGCTATAACACTCCAAACCTTAATAAGATACGTTTCAATCCCATTGTTGTTGTTGTTTTTCTTAAACGTCAATCAACAACAGGACTAAAGACTAACTTTGTCAGTATCTTTGCCCCTAACAAGCAGTATTGTTTCCTAAACGTTCATGATGACACCTAATGCTTGATTAATCAAATCAAGATTATATATGATGTCGCTTTCTCTTTAAGGGAATTTGCTGGTCATCATCGCCTTTCTTACGACCCCCAAGCTTAAAACGAAAACCAACTACTTCATATTTTCGTTGGCTGTGGCTGATCTTTTGGTCGGGTTATTTTCTATTCCACTCTGGATTTACTATATTCTGACGTTAGACTTCATGAACACTTTGTATGAGTATTACCAGCTTGGTGACATAGTGTCAGGCGTGTCCTCCATCATGCATTTGACCTGCATTAGTGTAGAGCGCTGTTATGCCATCGTAGCACCTCTGAAGCACAGGAAGATCAGCAAAGGTTGGTAAAACTCCTTTTCAATTGCTACAAATTTCTTCCAGCCTCTGTTTGCTTTCCATTCTCAATAACGAACCAACTAGCCAACAAAGTAACCAACCAACCAACAGCCAGCCAGCCAGCCAGCCAATCACTCGATTGCCGGATAGATCGATCAATCAATCGATTAATCGATCAATCGGTGAATTGGTTAGTCGGTCAATCGATCCATCGTTTGTCAGTCAGAAAAACAGAGAATCAGATAGTCAATCACGAAGTCAGGCATACATCTAGTCAGTCATACAGTTAGACAGAAAGAGAATCAGTCAGATAGACAGACGGACAGACAGGCAGTCAGCTTGAAACATAGACAATCGATCATTCAATCATTCTTAAATATAAAAATCGAAGTTGCGTGCATACGTTGAGCACATTAGCTGAATTGTAATTGCAAATTAAGGAGGGAAATGTGAACATGTGAAAAGCCCTATACACTTTTTTCAACTTGACGCCAATATCGTCCAGCTGCGTAGCAACAAAAGATGGTAGGTGGCATGCAGATGGTACTTTGATCTGCTACAAGTTTTGTTAATAAGAATTAGGAACTCTCCGTGGATTTACTTATAACGTCTCTTATTCGACCGAGAGTTTCTAGTAAGCTTTTTACTATTTCAACAACCTTTTTATGTGAGTTTTCTTCTTAATTTTTGCACGCAGCAAAGATTTTTGCTGGTATTGCCTTATCCTGGTTCCTCGCCGTTCTCAATGCACTGCTGAAGAAGTTCATCAAATGGAAAGATGTGTCCATCTTGAATACCTTCGCGTTCTTTGTGGTTCCACTGCTACTGATAGTCGCTGCCTACATCGCCATCTTCTTCGCCGCTAAAAAGAGCTTAAAAGAACACCGAAGGCGTTCTTTAAAGAAGGTAACCTCAACCTTTTTAAAGGTCACTCAGAGATCGATCGTCTCCTTAGTAAATACGACATGTTTAAACTATTTAAATTTTTCAGTCAGATGATAGGGAGAGGGGGTACTCTCTAAATGTGCGGCTGGGACGCTGACACCTATACCCTATACTAGAACAAGATCTGCTTGATCTAGACTAGGCACCAAAGCCTGCTACCTTATCCAACACTAGCTATTCTCCTTGCAGACATTTATCACTATCGTAATCCAACATAGGCTAATTAAGCCAATATTTTACAAGTCACTTTCGAGTTTAAATTTCTATCATAGAACCCCGTCTAAAGAACCCTGTTATAAACTAAATTTTTCGTACACTTGCCACTTTTCCTGTAAGTTATAACCTATTCTACACTAAAACTGTCTGATTTCTATACCCTATCTCAGACTGAACTGCCTGAAAATCATACCCTTCACAAAGACACATACCCATACAGCTTATATATGGGAGCACCCCCTGGGATTGACTTTGTTAGTGTTACTGTATCTTTGTTTTTATTTTTGAGTTAAAGTATTTTGGAAACGATCTACCAGGTCCGTCGGTCCTGTTGTACTGTGTCGGCGGGGAAGTGAAACGTCTTTTTCTATTGACTCGAAGTTGATAAACAAGCGAGAAAGACAGGGATCTCTCTTGTCTCCGCACAAAGCATTCACTGAGTTCCGCTCGATTTTGTAACTTCTTTTTATTGAGCTTGTCTATTTTTGTACCGTTGCCAACCGTTTTCCTTTGCCCCGTAGGATCTTCATGTCGCCTATACTGTTGCCTTGGTAACTGGCGCTTTCGCCATTTGTTGGCTTCCATTCTTCTTGTTGATCTTGATCTACAAATGGTGCGCCACGTGCTCATTCGTGTGGGACATGCGCGTCCTCATGGTAGTCAAGTTACTCCACTATGGTAACTCGGCTCTAAACCCCATCATTTACTCGGTCAGAAATCGGCGGTTCAACCACGCGTTCAAGAGGATTTTGCTGCGCCTTATTTGTCGTAAACTGGACACAGGCTATTTTGGCATGAACTCTACTACCCGGCATACTCAGCAAACCCGCGTCGACGCAAACACCATAACGATGATGGAAAGGGGTGGAAAGCCGTCCCCTAAGACCAAGGGTCGCTCAGATGAATCTTGCTCAGTTAAACTGGTTTAAACCCTACCGAACGAGACAAGTTTCAACTCACCCTATGGTCTATTTTACAAAATAACTTTTCTTCCCCTGTAGGCACGGCTGTCTTATGGTTAGCGCACCGGACTCCGGATCAAGTGGTCTGGGTTGGAGCCCTGGCGAGGGACATTGTGTTGTGTTCTTGAGCAAGACGCTTCACTCTCGCAGTGCCTCTCCATCCAGGTGTATAAATGGGTACCAGCGAATTTAATGCTGGGGTTAACCCTGCTATGGAGTGGCATCCCATCTGGGAGGGGAGAATAGAAATACTTCCAGTGGCTCCATGCTAGGGTAACCAGGGAACGCTCGCTGTATGGGCCACTGACGCAAATTCTACCCTTACCCTCAACAATGTCTTTACAGCGGAGTTTGTCGTTGGAGCTCGCTTCTCTAAGGGAAGCTCATCCGTAGAGCAAACCAGAGAGACATACACCTTACAACACACATTCGTCCACTGGGAGAAGCAAGCTTTAAACCTCACGAGAATTGCAGCGGCTGGTTTTTATCATTTTTCGTTCGACTGAGTTAGGGTATATAGATACGTTTTTAGTTCAGTTTTTTATTATTGCAAACTATTTACAGAAAAACAATTTAACGTAAGATGGTTTACAATGATATAGGAAAAATAAATACCGATAGAAAATAACTAGAAGAAACAATATTTAATTGTGTACAGTGACTAAAGTAGCCAATGAGCTTTCGAGTTGGTCACGGATAAGGGAAGTGGATAAGGGAAGTGGGTTACAGAGAGAACGCTGACCGTGTGTATTTTGTATGGGCATGTAGTGTGGGAGGATACCCCAAGTTAACGTGAACCAAAAAGTATATCCCCTTTGAACTAAAGAAATATTTAAGTACCCTTGCCGCCCTCATCTAATGGATATCGAAACGAGTCTGCGCCTCCCCTGCCGCCTGTCATTTTAGCACACTACTTTTTAAAATTTGCTTTATTTTACTCGTTATTGTGCTGGCATAAAATAGGAACAAGAAATCATGATCAAGTGGAGATTTCTTTTCACTGAATTTTCTACCGACATTTTACGATAGACACTGTCTTTTTAGGCCCCGCCTACACTACGCCGGAGGAATTTGAAAACGAAGGTTTCACTCTGAAAACTCATCAAATGTTTCCCGTCCACACTATGCTGGACAAATTATAAAACGCAACAATCACCGGTCATTTTGCATTTGTGTTTGAGTAAAACTCATTCAGGTAAATCACGTGATTATCATGACGTCATCGTTTTCGAAAAACTTCGTTTTCAAAATGTTTTCCGTCCACACTAAAACGCAGAGCCGGAGTTTTCAAATTCCTCCAGTTTGGAGAGCGTTTTTGAAAAGCTCCCTTTTCGTGACGAATTAGTGTGGGCGGAAGGCCTAACCGGAGAAATAGAGCTGAGTTTTCAAATTCCTCCGGCGTAAATATTATGTGAACTGGGCTTTAGTCGGAACACATTATTTGAAAACGGCCCCTTTCAGGAAAAACTCCGTAAAATAATAACCTGGGTGATTCCGCAGAATTCAAATAGTGTAAGGAAAAATATGTAAACAATATGATAGATTCCTTTTCATATTCTACTTCTTGAACAATTAAAATTGTATCCGCACCGATTTTTACGAGCCCATGTCTTTTTCTTCGTAATCACGTATGCGCAGCCGGTTCTGTCTCTCACACACGATTTAGTCGACTTATCCTTACGACGAGCCAGTTCCTATACAGTTTTTCTTCAAAACGTGGCATGACTATTTAACCAAACATTCCCAGACTTTTTAATCATGTTTACCCACAAATTGACGTAGTAAGCTGTTTGTCGTAATTTCAATCTTTCATTTGCTGCAGGCTTATTTTTGATTTAGCCCATTTTACACCGAACCCAGGAGGATCAGTAGTTCTTGAAGTGTGCGATCGTCCTGGTGACAGAAGTCACTTGAGAAAGTCTCTTGTTTGTGGTTAGCGTTCTGATAACCCGAGCAGTAGTCATGTTAATATCTCGAGTAGTGAAGGGTATGTGTATTATTTATAGTATTTTTAATTTTTAAGCCCGCTTCCATTTTGTCCAAATTTGATTGGACTCATGAAGTCTCAAACAGGAGTTTGGTTAGTTGTCGTCAGGTGTGGCTGAGCGTAATAATTCCGTTACTGGCCATTATAATTGCTAGATTAAAATACGGCAGACACTATAAAACGAAGTTACTACATGCATCTTATGAACGACTGGGTATTCTTTACCTCTAACTCTTGGTTCAAGAGACACACAGCTTGATTGAGCTAACTTTTACTTGACTGTCTCTAATGCCTTGTCTAGTTTCCTGGCCCCTCGACTGATCTAGGAAAAGAAAGCCTGGTTATATTTGCCCTAACCCCTCCTCCCACTAAAATTTAATGAAGTGCAGTAACTGCATCTTGGCATTCTTTCTCAAACGTCTAACTCAAGAATAAAGGCGACAGTTTGACCACCTTTCCCGGTAAACTTTCAATGCTGTGTTTTCAAGTCCACCAGCACCCCCGGGGGGGAGTTACTCCCTTATATGGGCTATATAGTTATGTGCGGCCCCAAAGGGTATGGTTTTTCAGCCGTTTTAGTCATAAATAGGGTATCGATTTTGGTCTTAAATAGGGCATGGTTTTAGCACTCTAGTCTTGAATTGGGTATATTTCTTAGAAGAAGCTACTTTTTCGTCATTATCAATAAGACCGTCAACAAAAGCCCTTTAAAACTTATGTTTAGGGCAACTGTGCCAGCCGCAACGGTCGTAAATAGAGTATCGAATTTTTGGCCAGGTCATAAATAGGGTAGGGAAAAACGCAGATTTTGGTCATAAATAGGTAAGGGTTTTGGGAAGGGGGCCGCACACCCCCACTCAA